AGGCCGAGGGGGGCGGATCAAGAGGTCAGGAGATCGAGACCATCCTGGCTAACACGGTGAAACCCCGTCTCTACTAAAAATGCAAAAAATTAGCCGGGCGAGGTGGCGGGCGCCTGTAGTCCCAGCTATTCGGGAGGCTGAGGCAGGAGAATGGCGTGAACCCGGGAGGCGGAGCTTACAGTGAGCTGAGATCGCGCCATTGCACTCCAGCCTGGGCCACAGAGCGAGACTCCGTCTCAAAAAAAAAAAAAAAAAAAAAAGAATATAATAATAATAGGTGGAATGAGAATATGGCTTTATCCTCTAGGATAAAAAAGAAGTACTACTGGCCGGGCGCGGTGGCTCAAGCCTGTAATCCCAGCACTTTGGGAGGCCGAGACGGGTGGATCACGAGGTCAGGAGATCGAGACCATCTTGGCTAACACGGTGAAACCCCGTCTCTACTAAAAATACAAAAAACTAGCCGGGCGAGGTGGCGGGCGCCTGTAGTCCCGGCTACTCGGGAGGCTGAGGCAGGAGAATGGCGTGAACCCGGGAGGCGGAGCTTGCAGTGAGCTGAGATCCAGCCACTGCACTCCAGCCTGGGCTACAGAGCGAGACTCCGTCTCAAAAAAAAAAAAAAGAAGTACTACTCTCATATTTGAGAAAAATTGTAAACATTTTTACCAAAAACACTTGTTTCACAAGCCTTTCCACAGTGACACCACTGTCTTCATGAGCTTAATGTGCTAAGAATAGTTTAACGAATCTCCTCCTATTATTTACATTGATTTCATATTCTTAAAATAATGAAGGAATAGGCCAGGCACGGTGGCTCACAATTGTAATCCCAGCACGTTAGGAGGCCAATGTGGGTGGATCACCTGAGGTCGGGAGTTTGAGACCAGCCTGACCAACATGGAGAAACCCCGTCTCTACTAAAAATACAAAATTAGCTGGGCGTGGTGGCGCATGCTTTTAATCCCAGCTGCTTGGGAGGCTGAGGCAGGAGAATCGCTTGAACCCAGGAGGCGGAGGTTGCAGTGACCTGAGATCATGCCATTGCACTCCAGCCTGGCCAACAAGAGCAAAATACTGCCTCAAATAATAATAATAATAATAATAAAGGAATCATTCATGTATTATTCATGTCTATGTATGAACTTTCCATTCTAATTAGTAAGATTTTTGGAGTCAGAAACTTAGTAACTCACTCAATTACCTAATAATGTGGTACAAAATCAGGGAGTAAAGATTCTTTTATTGGTCTCCTTTTCTAGAATTTACCACGTACTTTGTGCACATTAATACGTGACTTCCATTGGCAGCTGCTCTAATCCTGGTCCACAGAGAGCTGACAGTGCATCCAGATGTGGCTCCTGAACAATCCCTGCTGCCCAACAGCACTGACACCACGGGACCCTCACCCCGTCTCCATCCATGTCTGGTGTGAGCCCTTCCCAGGCCCATGCCCAGTGCAGCCTCTTCCCAAGTTCATGTCACTGGGTCACGAGAGATGAAATCTAAGTGAGATGAGAGGGACTGAGGGAAGGCATGGGTGTGTGTGAGCAAACCTGTCAGGCAGGACACTTCAGACTCAGAGAAGATTCCCAACTCCAAGGCCCAGCGTTTCTCAAAGGAAGGAGACAGAACAATCCACCAAGAATATCATCTCACCTGAGGAAGAGCCATCCCTGACTCCTCTGCTTTCCTCTTCCTCTTCTGGGTTTCTTCCTCATGGACCAAGAGTCTTTAGCAGTCAATCCTGAATGTTAAAAATATGCGTTTATGGCTCAGAATCAACACATCCCCCTCCCTGTAACACGATGACACAAACAAAGGAGACCTCACCCTGAGGAAATACGGTCCCCTCTGCTGCCCAGTGCATCAGGAACAAAAAATTCCTACAGGAAAACTCCCGCTCCCCTCCTGGAGAAGCCCCCCCGCCCCACACACACACACTTCAGCTGTGGGGAGCTGGGCTGGGATGAGCTCCCCTTGAGGAAAACTCTACCAAAAATACAAAAACTTAGCCAGGTATGGTGGTGCACGTCTGTGTGTCTGTGGTCTCAGCTACTTAGGAAGCTGAGGTGGAAGCATCACTTGAGCTCAGAAGTTTGAGACCAGCCTGGCCAACATGGAGAAACCCTGTCTCTGCTAAAAATACAAAAACTGGTCCAGGCATGGTGGCTCATGCCTGTAATACTAGCACTCTGAAAGGCAGAGGTGGGTGGATTACTTGAGGTCAGTTGTTCGAGATCAGCCTGGACAACAGGGAGAAACGCTGTCTGTACTAAAAATACAAAAAGTAGCCGAGCTTCGTGGGCATCTGTAATCCCAGCTACTCAGGAGGCTTAGGAAGGATAATTTCTTGAACCTGGAAAGTGGAGGCTGCAGTGACCTGAGACTGCACCACTGCACTACTGCCTGGGCGACAGAGTAAGACTCAAAAATAAAATAAAATACAAATACAATAATTAGCAGGGTGTGGAGGCACACACCTGTAATCTCAGCTCCTTGGGAGGCTGAGGCAGAAGAATCAGTTGAACCCAGGAGACAGAGGTTGCAGTGAGCCAAGATCACGAGACTGCACTCACAGCCTGGAGGACACAGTGAGAGTCTGTTTGGGGGAAAAAAAAAAGTGCATTTCTGATAAGATGGACACAGAGATAAGAAAACTTGAGTAATGTGATAGAGACTGACAGGCAGAGGGAACTTCAGATGGGGGTGGGAGGCCATGGGAGGCATCTCTGAGCCTAGACCTGAAGGAGAAAGGGACAGTGCCATCTTCATTTAGAAACATAGAATAAAAGCGGAGACAACGACCTGAGACAGGAAGGGTTTTGATGTTTGAAAAAAGAGAAAAGCAAATGTGACTGGGGCAGAGGGAGTCGGGAGAGGAGGGCAAGCTCCCAGGAGGAGGCTGGACACTGGCAGGGACCCTGGACACAGGGCTGTAGAGCCACAGTGAGGAGCTGGACTTTTGTCCCGGGGAACACGGGAAGCCAGTGGAGGGTTCCCTGCCAGGGACTGACACAACCTGCTTTAGACGTAGCTGTGATATCCTCATACAGACAAAGGCCTCTGAAGATGGTCTCTGTTTCTGAGTCTACCACTCTGTTTCTTCCATTCTTCTTCTTTTTTTTTTTTTTTTCATTTTTGGTTTACTGCATCCCATGGAAAATTCTAATTACAACTGGGCACTCCCCTCTCCCAGAGAAAAAGCCATGCCCACACACTGCCTCTATTTTGCCAATCATTTCAGGGGTCAGGGTCACTTAGGTTGAGCTTTTCTGGTCTAGCCCTTCATCATCAAGCTGCAGGGAGGCTCACCCGGGCTCAGAGCGGGAAACATTTTCACCAAGTTACCCTGAGAAGGTCTGAGATGAGTGAGAAGGTGTGCCTGAATTCTTACATGGGGGCCTGGAAGGGCTAATGGGATGGGTTGTTCTTATTCCATCCTTAAATTTAGAGAAGCATCTTTCACCTACCTGGGTTAAAGAAAATTCTTTGGAAAGGTTCTGATGAAACTGACAGCCAACATTGAATTCTTCCTTAGAAGAAAATCTCAGTAACTTCTGCATTATAAAATGCAGAAGTGTGAACACACAGCTATTGACCTTGAAAACAGGGAAACAGGGTCAGCTGCAGAACTAAGACATAAGCAAATTTTTCAATCAAGAATACATGGGTGGACAGCTGCGGTGGCTCACACCTGTAATTCCAGCACTTTGGGAGGTGGAGGTGGGTGGATCACCTGAGGTCAGGAGTTTGAGACCAACCTGGCCAACATGGTGAAATCCTGTCTCTACTAAAAATACAAAAATTACCCGGGCTCCATCGTCACAACTTATTTAACCTCTAGTTGCTCCTTCTCCCCAAGCTTTAGATCATCCTCAATCTCCATAGATTTCTGCCTCTTCTCCCATCTCTGCGCATCCTCTGTTCTCCCTGTTAAATTCTCTCTTCCCTGTTATAACCCCCTGGACCTAATCTGACACCCCAGATCCCCAGGTATCCTCCCTGCTGTGGTTCTCCCTCTGTTCTCCTTGCCACCAGCACCACTCTGCTCTGTCTGCCCTGGCTCCAAATGCCTCCTCCTCTCCCTCACTCTGAGCCTCCCTCTTTGCTGCCTCTCACTACCTTGTTGTCTGTCCTTCATTTCTCTGTACATCTAGCTGTTCTCTACATTTCTGCAGTTGCTTTTCTCCTCCTGCTTTCTTATCTTTTTTTCACTTTTGCTGTCTCTTGGCAAATCCCTCACCCATCCTCTACTTTGCCATCTGTTACGGGTCTTCCTCATTCTTCTTTTCTCTGCCTCTGGTTTTCTACTGCTCTCTCAGTCCCTCTCTCTGTCTCCTGATCCTGCTGGCCCACACAATCACACGAGGGTTTGGAGTAAGACGCCGGCATCTCGGAGGAGCGCATTTTCCAAGAGCTGAATCTGGGCAGGCAAGAACACCTCGTATCACAGGACAGGCACCGGGCACCTCTACAGTGCGGGCTCAGGGGAAGCGGTGACTGCGGAGGGAGGACCTGGGGAGCAGCAGGGCCCAGCATGAGGAGGGAGGTGGGGGGGCAACGACGCCTTCAGACAAGGGTGGGATCTGCAGGATCCCAGGACCAGAGAACGCGTCCTCCCCGCTACTGGGGTCACGGTGCTGTGCTCCAAGGAATTGACGAGGGTGAGGCTGGGAGACGCGCAGGGTGGGAAAACACCTCTCGGCTGAGGATTTTTAAAAGCGCAGTGCGGAAGGAGTCAAAAAACGGTTTTTAGCAAGAAAACTACGCCATAGGAAGTGTATACGCTGTAGCAGAAAGATCCAGGACGGGATCAGCCTCAGGGTGACTTTAAACCCAAAAAGAAGGGACTTCCGGACCCCCAGGAGAACATCTCCATTTGCTCTGAGTGAAGGAAGAAAGACGAGAACTTCCAGGTCTACGGGGACCCCACATCCCATGTACAGAAGTGCCGGGGACCTGGGGAGCGCAGACTTAATACAACACAGAGCAAAACTCACCGCTGCGGTATGACGGTCACTCCACGGGATCCGCTTCCTGGTCTGCGCGAATCTGGACGTGCAAGACGGAAACCAGGCCTGGGTGGAGCCAACGAGGAGGTGAGCGGGGCCTGGGTGAGGTGTGGGCGGGGCCTGGGTGAAGTAGGGGCGGGGGCGAAGCGGAGAGAACTTGCACTTTAGAACCGGCAGAGGGCGGGGCCGGAGCGGGACCTGTGTGTCTGTCAAGGTCCTTCCAGTCCCTGTTCTCCGGGTTTTGGCGGCGAGAGCAGCCAGGAAGGCAGAAGGATGATTCAAAAGCCCTGGAATAGTCTGGAAGGAGGATGCAAACCAGAATGTAAAATGCAAAGCCCTGCCTGGGTGGAACGTAGGATTTCATGCTGACAGCCCACAGAACAGAATAGAAATCCTCTCCCTTTCTATTCTCCATTCACTCAGGAGGGAGAGTCCACCCAGTGCTCAGCTTCAGAGACTTCCCTAGGGCCACCGCCTGGGATGAGGGACGGAATGCGCAGACTAAGGAGGAGTGAGGTCACTACCTACTGCTTAAACACAGCAGGGATGCGGGCGCGGGCGTGGGCGTGGGAGCGGGAGCCTGAGGTCCCCGCTACTCAGGAAGCAGTAGCGGGAGAATCGCTGAGCCTGGGGGTCCTGGCCAGCCTGGGCGACAAAGTAACATTCCCTCCCGCTTTTTTTTTTTTTTTTAAATAAAATTTTGATTAGGACACGGTGGCTCACGCCTGTAATCCCAGCACTTTGGGAGGCTGAGGCGGGTGAATCTCGAGGTCAGGGCATCGAGACCATCCTGGCTAACACGGTGAAGCCCCGTCTCCACTAAAAATACAAATTAACCGGGCGTGGTGGCCGGCGCTTATAGTCCCAGCTTACTCAGGAGGCTGAGGCAGGAGAATGCTGTGAGCACGGGAGGTGGAGCTTGCAGTGGGCCGAGATCTCGCCACTGCACTCCAGCCTGGGCGACAGAGCCAGACTCTGTCGCAGGAAAAAAAAAAAAAAAAAAAAAAAAAAAAAAAAAATTTCCTTGCCTGAGATAGGGATATCTTACTCTTTTCCATGTGAATATCCAGTTAGTTGTGCCAGCACGTTTGTAAAAGAGATCTATTACTTTCTCCTTTTTATTTCCATTTTTTTTCTTGTGTGTGTGTGTGTGTGTGTGTGTGTGTGTGTGTGTGTGAGAGAGAGAGAGAGAGACATAGTATTTCTCTGTCGCCCAGGCTGGAGTGCAGTGGCGAGATCTCGGCTCACTGCAGCTTCTGCCTCCTGGGTTGAAGCGATTCTTCTGCCTCAGTCTGCGGAATAGCTGGCATTACAGACGCGCGCCACCATGCCCGGCTAATTTTTGTATTTTAGGTAGAGATGGGCTGTCACCATGTTGGACAGGCTGGTCTCGAACTCCTGACTTCAAGTCATCCGCCTGCCTTGGCCTCCCAAAGTGCTTGGAGTACAGGAGTGAGTCGCTGTGCCTGGTCCAAGAAATACTCTTTACTTCGCTTTTTAAATGTTGTGAAAATACAATTGAAAACTAAAATATCTTCCCCGAAATGAGAAATCATCTTCACGACAAAAGAGAAAGAAATAAAAACCATCTTATTAATAAATAAGCCTTAGACCAGAATGTGATGGGAAATAGAGGCAAAGACCTGAGAGGTTGAAAAGACAGAAAAAAAACTTCACTGTTCTATGCAACCCATTAAGTACATGTTTTCAAGATAAACACTAATCAGTCCTCAGGGAAGAGGACTTGACAACATTCTTGGTCACACATAGTTCATCGTGGCTCTACTTGGTAATGGAGGTGACCATCTGTGTCAGCTAGTTAGCTTCATGCAGAGGGAGGGGAAATACTTTAACCCATGTCTTTTTGACAAGTGTGAGTTTTACAACGTGGCGACAGGTGCCCTCTCTGGTGAGGCTCCTACAATCCGACAGGAACTGATGTCAGCAGTAAATAATAAAATTTAGAATACATGATTAATTATAGACTTTATTTGAACACAAAGCTTGAGGACAGCCACCTGGAAACCTCAATTCCAAATGAAGGGGGCCCATGTTCCCAAGTAGAGACGTTAAGGTTTCACACACAGAGAAAGAGAAGCTTTAGCGGAATCACCACATTTTCCATTCAAGACCAGTGCATCGGCTGCAGCAACCTGATTGGTGACGGATTGATAGACTTCAAGGAAGGTTATTTTATCACTCCAGAAGAAGGGACAACGATGCCACGAGGTCTTATCTCTGGGGCTGCTTAGTCTTCCTAATTATTTACAGGAAAACTGTTTTTTTTTTTTTTAATTGGTATAAGGAAACTAAATTTTATTGCATTTTTTTTTTTTTTTTGGTACAGAGTCTTGCTCTGTCACCCAGGCTGGTGTGCAGTGGCACGATCTTGGCTCACTGCAACCTCCATCTCTCCGGTTCAAGCAGTTCTCCTGCCTCAGTCTCCTAAGTAGCTGGGAATACAGGCACGCGCCACCATGCCTGGCTAATGCTTTTGTATTTTTAGTAGAGACAGGTTTTCACCGTGTTGGCCAGGCTGGTTTCTAATTCCTGACCTCAAGTGATCCGCCGGCCTCAGCCTCCCAAAGTGCTGGGATTACAGGCGTGAGCCACCGCACCTGGCCAGCAAAATTCTTAGAAGTTGCACCTGCATGCCATTGGACTCAGGTTGCATGACCACGTTCCTCTCAAGGCTCAGAATTATTTAAATGTCCGTAGCTTTAAATTGGAAATATTTGATGTTTGAATTATTTAACTTCCTACTGAGATAGAGGTACTATCTCCCTTGTAGTTTGCCTTACAAGGAGCGCTCCCAAGTCCTGCAGAAATACATCTCTGGGTCATTAAGCTGAAAAAAGTTTTAGTTACTCTCTAAAAATACCACTTCAGGCGAGGCACAGTGGCTCAAGCCTGTACTCCCAGCGTTTTGGGAGGTCAAGGAGGACAGATGGCCTGAGGTCTGAAGTTTGAGACCAGCCTGACCAATATAGAGAAACCTCGTCTCTCCTATAAATACAAAAATTAACCTGGCCTGTTGGCACGCACCTATATTCCCAGCTACTCAGGAAGCTGAGGCAGGAGAATTGCCTGATCCCAGGAAACGGAGGTTGTGGTGAGCCAAGATCGTGCCATTGCACTCCAGCCTGGGCAACAAGAGTGAAACTCTGTCTCAAAAACAAAAAATAAATTATAACTGGGTGCAGTGGCTCACACCTGAGCAAGACTCCATCTCAGAAAACAAAACAAAAAAACAAAAACCAAACAAAAAAAACGCTACCAGTTACACAGTAGGGCGTCCTCAAAAACAAAGGAAATGCCTCTTCTTTAAGTTTTTTTTTTTTTTTTTTTTTTTGAGACGGAGTCTCGCTCTGTCACCCAGGCTGGAGTGCAGTGGCGCGATCTCCGGTCACTGCAAGCCTCTTCTCGTGGGCTCATGCCATTCTCCTGCCTCAGCCTCCTGAGTATCTGGGACTACAGGCGCCCGCCACCAAGCCCAGCTAATTTTTTGTATTTTTACTAGAGACAGGGTCTCACCGTGTTACCAGGATGGTTTCAATCTCCTGACCTCGTGATCCTCCCACCTCGGCCTCCCAAAGTGCTGGGATTACAGGCGTCAGCCACCGCACCCGGCCTAAGTTTTTTTTACATAGGTGCCTAGGTAAAACTAAGATATGTCTACCTGCTGGTTGGCTGACAGTCTAACAAAACCTATCACTTTGTTGATTTAAAGCTATTCTTGACTGGTCGCGGCGGCTCATACCTGTAATCCCAGCACTTTGAAAGGCTAAGTCGGGGGGGTCACCTGAGGTCAGGAGTTCAAGACCAGCCTGGACAACATGGTGAAAGCCCGTCTCTACTGAAAATGCAACAATTAGCTGGGCGTGGTGGCACATGCCTGTAATCCTAGCTACTCAGGATGCTGAGGCAGGAGAATTGCTTGAACCTGGAAGGCGGAGGTTGCAGTGAGCCAAGATGGTGCCATTGTACTCCAGTCTGGACGACAAGCGTGAACCTGCATTTAAAAAAAAAAAAAAAAGGCCGGGCGCGGTGGCTCAAGCCTGTAATCCCAGCACTTTGGGAGGCTGAGACGGGCGGATCACGAGGTCAGGAGATCAAGACCATCCTGGCTAACCTGGTGAAACCCCGTCTCTACTAAAAAATACAAAAAACTAGCTGGGCGAGGTGGCGGGCGCCTGTAGTCCCAGCTACTCGGGAGGCTGAGGCAGGAGAATGGCGTGAACCCAGGAGGCGGAGCTTGCAGTGAGCTGAGATCTGGCCACTGCACTCCAGCCTGGGCGACAGAGCGAGACTCCGTCTCAAAAAAAAAAAAAAAAAAAAAAAAAAAAAAAAAAAGCTATCCTTGGTATTTTAGTATTTTAGTGTGCAAGTACTTGAAAGCATGGCTGTAATTATCTTAGAAGCATACATTGTCATGGGATATTGGGTCATCTGGACATTGTGTTTCTGTAGGAGTTTGTTCTTGCAGGTACTATTAAGCTGCTTTCCTTAACTGTAAACATCTTAAGAACGTGACTCATGCGTGAGCAGTAAGGAACACGTCTGGCTAGGTTTACTGGACTTAAACTTCGTCATTCTAGCTCTCCTAGGATTCTGTTTAATAGTTTTTCCACTCATGCACCACAGAGTTCTAAGCACAATTATGGAGACACTACTCTCTTGTTATGTGCCGAGATCATGCCACTATACTTTAGCCTGGGCAACAGAGTGAGACTCCGTCTCAAAAAAAAAAAAAAAAAAAAAGAAAAGAAAAAGAAAAAGAAAAAAAGAAAACTCATCCAAATTAGAAAGAAAGAAAATTGTATTTGTTTGTAGATGACATGATCTTCTGTGTAAAAACTCCAAAGAGTCAACCAAAATACTACTGGAAATAATAAACACATTCAGTGGATTTGCAGAATACAATATCAGCACCAAAAGTTAGTTGAATTTCCATACATTAACAATCAGCAATTTTAAAAGAAAATTCAGAAAACACTTCCATTTGCTAGGGAAATTTAAGTAAGAAATACTAAGGAATAAATGCAAAGAG